ACTGAGACAGACGAACCTGGACAAACTATTGCGGAGCCCGGCGCTGTCTGCTGTCAGTTATGCTGAATGCAGATAACAGCTTTGGCACAGTTGTTGCTTTAACAGAACAAATGCCAGCGAAGACTGTTCAAAAAAAAAGCCCCACACATATTCCAGAGGAGCACCGAATCTAGCATCTTCCCTCTCATGTGCAGGGGGGAGGAAAGCCTGTTTGTTTATTTCAAATTCATCTCTGAGGTTGTAATAGGAGTCCAGCGGTCTAATCAGCCAACAGTGTTCTCCCGAGTGAACAGCAGCCTCAGGCGGATCAGAGGATGTGAGGCTCCCTGTGTCTCAAAACTGCCAGATTTGCTCTACTGGTGTCAGACATGACTCTGCTCTGACAGCGACACTCGCTCGTTGCTCTTTAACATCACACTGCTAAGTAACTACAATCTCCCTGATGGCAAATGCTTTGCTGCAGATTAGCCCGTTCTCTATTACAGGCTGAGTAGGTTTGTTGGTTCGCATTGGGACACATCTTGACTATTATTCTACGGCAGCACCAGCGTTTATGTTGCAATCTTTACAAGCCATGTAGTGCACAGTAATGGTTAACCAAGACTGAAGTAGCACCGTATTAGCAGCTGGAGGACCGAACAGCGTCTCAGCTTGTCCACTGAGATGAAATGATTAGTTTGATTACTGCATTTCAGCAATTTCTCAGACTGGTACCTGTTTTTCAAATAAGAAGATTTGCTGATTTTCTCCTTTTTTGGATATAACATTGGAAACTGAAAAGGTTTTGTTACTCTGACAAAGCAAGCAACACAAAGTCTTCACTTTCACTTCTCAGAAATTGTAACCACAGGCTTAAAAAAAAAAAAAAATCCATTTACATTAACGTCTTCATTTGTCTATGCTGTTTTTGTGAATCTCCACTTACATACATTATGAAAATGAACTATCACGCCTGCTTTCACTACTGTCAGAGGTGTGATATTGATGACAGGTAATGCTGTGCAGCTGATTTAAACCAGTTCACAAAAGCATTACTAAAAGCCACAATGAAACACCAGCGCACATGCTGCTGTAATGGATCACCTAGACGGATTACAAGTCTGATTCTCAGTGAGGTGGATGAGGAAAACGGTCTGCAGCAAAGTTAGGCGAGTGTTGTGATGGAGTTTTTCTTACATGCTTTCACAGAATCGGGCGAGAGTGCTGGGCTTCTCCTGGTTGCGTCGTTGTCGGAACCAGCGCTGGATGGTTCGCACGTCCCAGTCGAGCTGCTTGGACAGGCCCTCCAGCCTCTTCTCATCTGGGTGCTGGCAGGAGAACGACACACTTTGTTAGATCAATCTGTCACTGTAGTACAAATGACGAGAATATAACAGGTGTGAGGAGGAGAACTCATGTAGCCCACCTTGGTTATAGCGGTGAAAACCTTCTCCAGGATAGCGTTGGGTTGTGCTTTCTGTGGCCCGTTGGCTTGGATCTTCAGGCCCATGGCACATGGTCTCGCAATAAACCTGCAATTAACAGATCAGGACACTTCTATATCAAAACAGATGCTTCTCTTTGATTGGTTGTGTTTAGGAGTCAGCGGCGTGGCAGTAAGTGATGCATACATGCATATCCCCTCATTCTGTGCAGCTGCTGGTAGTAGGTGCCTGCACCTGGACATCTGTTGGCTCCCAGCTCTACTTTTTATTCTACCTGTGTGTGACTGGAGCACATGTGGCCAAACACAGGTGGAAAATGACTGAGTTGAACTGTTGTAGTGATAATGCAGAATAAAAGAAGAGCCGTAGCACAATATTATCTTAATTCTGATCACTTGAATCTTACTTGTTGGTTAACAACTGAGCAATACATATTCCCTTCCATGTAGCATTTAATGAATCCAACAGCAGCAGATGAAGCATCAAGGCTTCTGTCTCAGACGAGCTTCACTTTTTAATTCATGAGTGAAGTGGGGAAATGCAAGGCCTCACTCACTACTTCCTAAAGAGGCTCCTGACCCACGCATGTCTGCCAGGCTGTGACCATCATGGCTGTGAGCCTTCCTGTACAACAACAGAGACGGTGATGAAACACGCACAGCTGGACGAAACCCGCTAAGATCAGTCAAAGGAGCCTGTTCCGGACAAGCTGAAATGTGGCTCTGAGCTGAGGGAGCAGGAGCTGGACCGGCCAGGCTCTGGTAACTTGGCTGCACAGTGTGTGCAACTGACAGATGCATCAAATGCAGACAGCGCGTAAGTGCAGGCCTGCAGAAAGAAGGATGATCAACCCCGGTTGATTTGTGGGCTAACCAGATAAGATGCCATTGTTTAGCCAGCAGACTGACAAACGCGGACAGCGGGGCGTGCTGCATCATACGCCGGGCTATTTCATCGACACAACAGCCACCTGGATGATCATCGCATGTGCTCGGACCCACCTTTCGAAAACCAGCCGTATCATAAAGATGCAGAATGCTAAAGGACACGCCAGATACAGATCCTCGGCTTGCGGGAACGTTGCCTCATCTGTGTTTTTTAAGTCAGCCCAGGTTACATTATGGGGGAGCCAGAACCTCTCATTCCAAAACCACGCCAGAATACCGGCCATCTCCCTGCAGCAGACACTGTGACCGGGTCGGAAAGAGGAATCGACGGCCCGCTGGATCTCCGAGGTCTCTCACAGGCGATCTGACCGCTCAGACGGGGGCTGATGATGAGATATCCGTGTGCGATCGCCGTCCGTCCGTTTCCCCTCAGCTATTCCAGTGTAGGGAAGTAGACTCAATCAGCTCCGCAGCGACTGATTGGTGCGTTGAAATGTCAAGCAGCGCAGTCGGCGCACGTTCTGCCGGCTTCACTACGGCGCAGCGCTCACAGACACACAGGCAGACAGCTTCCTGATGAACCCACCAGCGCTGGATGTCTTTTTGTTGTAGTCTTATCTGGTTTCACATGCTGTTGTGTTGTGGTAGACTCCTATATAGACACATATATATAAATAAAAATAAAAACCTGCCATTCAGGTGAGTCGTCAGCTTAAATAATCAGCCAAAAGTCAAACTGATGCTTTTACGAAAATAGGGAAATGTAAAAATAAGAATTATTATAGCAACACTAGCAATAACCTACAACGTGCTTTGTGAACTCTGCCACCTACTGACCGTTTGGATGTATTATCTGTAAATCTGACACTTTTTTTCCTACAGTAATGTGACACGTTACTATATTTTATAAGTAAAGCAAAAATGTTTGGACATAAAAACACATTTACTAATATTTAGATGTAATTAGCTGTATTTTGTGGTGCTCACAGAACAGTGTAAAACCATTTACATATAATAAAATATATTTTTAAAAAATATTAGAATTATAAGGCAATACAACAAAACAGAATAACATATTACATTTTTTTTTTTTAATTTAAAAAATAAAGTTAACCTAAATATATATCTAAAACAGCAAGTCAAAAGCCTTATGATAGTAAGAAATGATTGCTTGTTTTATTAATAAACTGTATTAATTTTAACTTAACTGGCAAGCATCTATATGTTTTGTGTGTTTTACATATGTTGTATACCTGGTGTAATACCATATTAGAATTAAATGTTAGTATTATTCCAGTCACCATTATTTAATTAGCACTTGACCCAAAATGTTTTCCAATAGAGAAATATGTTATCTAGCAAATTTAAATATGAAGGTTAAGACCCTCCAGTTTTATATGTTTTCTACATTTACTGGACTAGTTTGAATATTAGGGTTAGGATGCTTCAATATTGTTTACATTTACATAACTAGTTTTAACACTCCTCAGTAATATATAGTATATCATGTATAATATAAGCCCATATATAAATGTACTTTTATTATGTTTAAAGTGAAGGTTAAGACCCTACAATTTATATTTTATCTAAATTTTATAATTCATGAATAATCAAAATATTAAGATTAAAATCCTAAAATATAATTAATATTACAATAGATAAACTGAACAATTTTCCATCTTATGCCAGAATGTTATGTACTAGATAGATAGATAGATAGATAGATAGATAGATAGATAGATAGATAGATAGATAGATAGATAGATACTTTATTCACCCTCTTGAGGAAATTCAAGGTATCCAGTATCTCAACGCATGTTACATTCAAGACAGACAAAAGGACAAAGTACAAAAGAACTGGCAATGAATGTGCAAATTGTGCTGGTCAAAGAAACAGCAATACGTTGCCTAAAATGCCGGTATTTACAAGAATGTGCAAAAATTGTTAGTATTTATGATAAGGTGCAACCCTGGTGGTACTATAATTGTAGACACACATTGGAAACCAAATATAAGACATAGTACAACATAAAATAATTAATAAATATTTCCCTTCATGTCAAATGTCAAAAAAGGAAGTGATTTCGACATGCTCAGTTTGCTAACCTCATAATATTTGTCATACCAACAACGTAAAGATAATCAATTAACAAACAAATACAAATAGGGGCAGCAGATATCGATACTTCAGAAGTATGACAGAAGTTGACAACCTTGTCTGCAGGTGATCAGTTGTGTAATCAGTTTAGCTCCAGCAACACTTCATGACTATATTCAATTCTGAAGTGTGTTAATCGTTGCCTATTGTCCCCACTGGTCACTGAGCGGTGTGACAGCGCCACCTGCCGGCCAGAGCGAGCAGCGTCCCTGTGACTGACTGCATGTGACATGACACCGTCACACATACGTGTCACCAACACTCAAGTCTCTGCTGATGATGGTAATAATGCAAATATGATGATGAAATAAAAACACTCAGACACTTTAATGACAAACTAGCTGCTTTAACTGGAACACAGTGCAGTTCATCTGTGCACGGCAGACTTTTAAACACACGCCAGTCCTCCCAGATGATTAATAGTGATGTTATCGGTCTTCCTGTGTGTGTGTGTTCAAACATCAACCTGCTCCTGTCGTAGTGAGCGCGTGCGCGGGGGCGTGTGTGTGCGCTCGCGCACGCGTGTGGTCCGTTATTTTCCGGGTTGCGCTCGGTGGCGGCGGCGGTAGTTGTGCTGCGGCTGCCAGCTGACACTTGTACCGAGGAGGGGAGGTCAAATTTGACTGAGTCTCTCTCTCCGCGTCTCCGTCAGTCCGAGAGAGACGCTGCTAACTAGCGCAGCATCATCATCATCATCATGGCGGATCAAGGCGAACCCACGGCTCCGGTCCAACACCCGCAACCGGCGCCGACAACCAGCTGGCCAATTACCAGGGAGTCGTACGAGCTGCAGGAAGTCATAGGTTAGTACCGGGGGATGTGTTATCACGGACGGGCTCCCGGCGGCGGGTTATCAGTGTGAACGACGACGACGGCCTACCGGCTTTTTTCCTATGTAGCAGCCTCCTGCAATGCTTTGCAATGCGGATGTTGCCAGACACGTTCAGGGGCTGCCGGTCTACAGCAGATGTGTCGGTGACTCAGGCGAAGCGGAATTAGTTGAAATATGGGTTACAGCACAATGTCACAGTCAGTAAGTGGCTTTTTCAGCTGCCTCCGACAACACAGACCTACTCAGTTTATGGCACGTGTCCAGTTTATTAGCCATTAGTGAAATCACAGAAGCTGTAAATGTGTTTTTTTCAATTGTTCATTCTGTGGCTCACGGTCAGAGTTAAATAGGCAATTACAAGTCCTCAAGTGGATAATGCTGAAACATATTTACCAGAATAATTAAACAGTTGATAACATTATTAATTATATTGATGGGGAATAGCAGAATAGTTATTTTAAGGCTTATCCCCAGTAGGTGGGACACAGAACCACTGGGACTCCAACCAATCTCCACAGCTGAATGTCAGCATCAACACAAGTGTCAGTACTGGTCTCACAATGGAACATGTTAAAATATCATCACCCATAGTAATCATACATTTAGTTAATTATAACTTTTAGCATCACTGAAACCTGTGCTTACCCAGAGTAAGTGAGACACACGACTACAAGGAGTACAACTAACTATATATATATTTATCTTTCAGTTATATAACAGTATTAATCCGACTGTCAGTAGTAGTTTTCATAATGGATAATATGTTTACTATAATAATCAATAATCAATTAATAATAATAATGGGAATTGAAACTTTTAGTATCACTAAAATGTTCATTTACCCAAAGTAAGTAAAGCACATCACTATGAGATCTGCGCCTCGACATTATTTTTTTTTATTATTAATCTGTTTTCCCATTCACCATTTAATAATAATAATGCAAATAGAGGAATTGTAACTTTCAGCATCACTAAAATATTGACTTACCCACAGAACAAAGGGACACACACGCCACTACGAGGACTGTGACCAACCACTATTTTCAGTATTTCTCTGTTGTTACATTCATCATACAAGTAAATATCAGTATTGACACAACTTAGAGTAATAGTTCCCACAGTGGGCACGGTTAAAATGTGTATTTACTGCTATGATCATACAGCTAATAACATCATTAGTTTAAATAATGGAAAAAGAAATGTTATTTCTAGTATCACCACACCTCTACCAGGGCTGCAACTCACCATTATTGTAGCTGTAACCGGTTTTTCCATCATCACCCGAGTTAAGTATTAGTATTAACACAACTGTCAGTAGTAGTTTTCACAGTGGACAGTGTTTAATGTATGTTTAGTCAATATTATTATTAATTATAACATTCAAAATAGTAGAATTGTTACTAAAAAGTGAGACACACCACGACTATAACCTTTGTTTTCATCAATAATTAATTCCTATTAATTTTTGTTCTTATTATATCTGTTTTTCCATTCATCGCTTAGTTAAATAACACAGCTGTCAGTAGTAACACAACACATTTTGATCACATAACAAGGTGATATTTTTATATGTGCCAGTTTGTTTCACTATGAGTCCAAAACACTTTTTTTTATTTCACAGTTATGTCAGCGAAAAGCAGCTAATCTTCACATTGGAAACTGTGATGGCAACGGTGTTTTGACTCCTTGATAAATGACTTAAAGGATTAACCAAAAATTTCTGTTGCAGACTAATCTATTATTGATGAATTGTTTCAGCTCTTGCTCCAATAATAGCCAGGGGATTAAAGGCAGTGAGTGCAGACATTCTGACTCAGTTGTTACGCACTGCCTTAATATAGCCAGAAAAAAGAAAACGTGTGCTCTGTCACTATGTTATACAGGCTGGTATTCTACTTAAGCCCATATGAAGGCTGTACTTATTCTTGTTGCCGATTTATGGAATAATGAATATTTTGTTTTATTTTCTTTTGCTTAAACCTCTTAAAACCTTAACCTTTTGAAATCATTTGCTCGAGTAAGTCACATAATGCTGACTTTTAGTGTTTAGTAATATAAAAAAAATAAAAAATTACTGTAAAAAACCAACAGTGGTAGTCTTGATTGTACAGTAAAGGTACAAAAGGAAGTTGTGTGAGTATTTGTGGTAAATGCATGTAGTGTGCAGATGAGCTGACAAGCCATATCATCACTGATAAGGAGTAGCACCACAGCTGTTTGCTGCTGACTGTGATGAGTTAGTGAGACCACCCCTCTCTGTGCTCATAATTAGCTGGTAAGCAGTCAGATCTCATGTGTTTTCTTCTTTGCCTTATCTGCCACTAACAGTTGGCAAGCATTATGCTGTGTGTCACAGCGTCTTGGTGTGAACAACTCTATTACTCCACAGCGTGGCCTGATTTGTAATGAACCAAGTAAACAACTCGCCACGCTGAAAGAAAGGTGCTGTAGTCATAAGTCAGCTTTTAATATTGTGTTTGTTCAATGCCTCAGCCAGCCACAGAAGCACATGAAGTTACAAACTGATGCTGAAATTAAGCTGTGAAATCCAGCTGTGTGTGATGCGAGTCCCTCTTGGTTTGTGTCTACTTTGTCATCGCTCTGTTGTGGCTGTAATTCCAGGCAGCGGGGCCACAGCTGTGGTGCAGGCAGCCCTCTGTACCCCCAGACAGGAGCGCGTGGCCATAAAGAGAATCAACCTGGAAAAATGCCAGACCAGCATGGATGAGCTATTGGTGAGTACAATAAATACGGGCTATTTTCTCAGCCTAGTGTTTTTGTCCCGCTCTCGAAAGCTGTACTTCTACTTTCCCTCTGATCCATATTGTTATTGTTCTCTTTTTATCTGAAAATCCAGTATCCGTTAATGCTCTTTGTAGTTTCTATTATCTGGATCATTTGCTGCAAAGCTCTTCCTGCTGAGGTGTATGTAAATCTATGGACCTTCCTGTGCAGATTCTTATCAAGAAACACAGAATAAAAGTCAGCTGTCCTATATGTGAAATATCCTGTTATTTGTCTCTGCCAATAGAAAGAAATTCAAGCCATGAGCCAGTGCAGCCACCCCAATGTTGTCACCTACTACACCTCCTTTGTTGTGAAGGATGAACTTTGGTTAGTCATGAAGCTTCTGAGTGGAGGTAAGCTTCACCTGGAAGAAAGTATGGAACAAAACATACTGATATGTTATTGCTAATGTGATGATGCTACACTTTAAATGCTCTTTTACATGTTTGTGTTTGATTTAAGGATTTGGGAACAAGTCATCATACTCAGTCTTAGCATTAGCCTTTACTAACATCTATCTGGTAAAATGCAATAAATTCTCCAAATAATTGCTAAAAATTGTAGTTTTTGTTTCTTGAGTTTTGAAAAATGTAGTCAAGCATAGCTAATTCGTTAGCTTTTCAACCACTGCTTATTCTAATGTGTTCTAAAAGACAACAGATCAATATTTTTAATTAAGTGTTTTCTAAGCACAACATTTTAGGCTGGTTTTAGCATAATTATACCCACATTTTCAAATAACAAACAACATTTATGCTGTAATGATGTTCCCTGGCAGATCCTTACAGCTCTCGGTTGTGAAGGACTGAGTGTTGCTCATTGTAATGTGCCGCCTGTCATATTTTATTGTAGGAAACAGACACTGAAAGCTGATTTGTTTTTCTCATTAATATGTGAAAAAATAACAACACGGTTTTCTTTTTTTCGTGTCATTTTAGGCTCCATGCTGGATATAATTAAGCACACAAGCAAAGAAGAAGATAAAAATCGAGCTTTAGACGAGCCTATTATTGCCACAATATTAAAAGAAGTTCTAGAGGGCCTGGACTATCTGCACAGAAATGGACAAATTCACAGGTAGCGCTTTTAATTTACTTTTTTTTCCCTCTCAAACATTTGACCATTTACTTACAGTTTTTGATGAAGAATTAAGAATAAAGAAAACCTCGGTAACAAGACCTGAGTTTAAAAATGCCAGTAAATGTATTGCTCGTTTTCTGGCGAGCACATTGTCGACACTTTATTGTAAGTTACTTTGAATCAAACAGGTGAACAAATGGCTGACGTGAATAGAAATATGTTAATCCGTTTGGCTGCAGCTCAGTCATTGTGACTTGTACACTTCCTGCAGTTCAAGGTCACTGAGAGCCAGGCTTAACCCTCTCTCAGCCCCCTGGGCAGAGTTCTAGATGGTGGCGGTCAGTGGGACTCATTAGGCCGAATGGAAGAATCAATGCTGCTCCGCATGACTGTGTTACTTTACTGTGTTATTGTTATGTCGCCCTCAGGGATGTGAAAGCTGGGAACATACTACTAGGAGAAGATGGATCTGTTCAGATTGCAGGTTTGTTGAACACAATACTACTGTTGCATTATTGTGTGTTTCCATTTGTTCCAGATCATAAATGTGACCCATCTGCACAAAATCAGTCACATGCACCTTGGGCTATATCTAAGACACAGCCTGAACTACGTTAACAGATGATAAAATATTGATTTTGGGTTTATTACTTAGATTGCTCCATTTAGTTGTTTTCTACATGTAGGTAACATATAATATTACAGAGCGTAAAAATGTTATGCTCCATATTGCTGTCAAATACTGTCAGCGTGCATGAGCGGTAACACCAGAAAGAAGCCACAGAAAGCGCTTGTGAGGATTGTGTCATTGGCAGCCAATCCTGTCCCGTGATTTGCGTCATGTGGTAGCAACATGCCGCTTTTGTTTACGCATAATAGCCCAAGGTGCAATGCGACTGATTTTGTGCAGATGAAGTTGAGATGAGAACATGAGAGCAGTACTTTTTTAGTTCTTTAATTGAAGCTGGCAGCTTTTTAAAGCAAACCAATTGCTGGTTAGTTTAATGAAAAGGATTGGTTATCGCCTTTGAGGAAATAGTTAATTTTACAGGAGTAAACAAATGATTCTCATAGGTGTATATAGAGAAAGTATAAAAATCTCATCAGCAGCTTTTACACCCGAGGATTCTACGTACCTGTACTTCTCATGTCTGCTAGCAAAAAGGCCGTCTTATAGTATAAATCATTAAAATAGTAATGGCTGATTTCTAGTTGGGCTGCAAGGTGGGTCAGTGGTTAACACCGTTGCCTCGCAGCAAGAAGGTTGCTGGTTCACGTCCCGGTGAGGACACCAGGGATCTTCCTGTGTGGAGTTTGCATGTTCTCCCCGTGCAGCGTGGGTTCTCTCCAGGTTCTCCGTCTTCCTCCCACACAGTCCAAAAACATGTTGAGGTTAATTGGTGATTCTAAATTTTCCGTAGGTGTGAATGTGAGTGTGCTTGGTTGTCTGTCTCTAAGTGTAGCCCTGTGATAGACTGGTGACCTGTCCAGGGTGTCCCCTGCCTTCACCCTAAGTCAGCTGGGATAGGCTCCAGCGCCCCCTCGACCCTGGTGAGGATTAAGCGGTGTATAGATAATGGATGGCTGATTTCTAGTTTGCTGTTTCAGTTTCAGGATTCTGGTGTAATTGCGGTATCAGCATTCGAGTTGTGTCGGCTAAATGGGAAAAACTCTTCTGTTCTTGCAAGACTCCCATTAATAGCCTTGTGGTCACACAATTTAGATAGCCTAAATTAGCTACTTTGACTGTTTGGAAGGATTTGTTCTGTTCAGAACACAAAGAATGGACATTTGGACTTTAAATATAATTGTTAAAAAGCCCCTTCAGTGAAAATCAATTTTCTTTACCTTGTTACCATGTGCATCATAAGCAAAAAAAGGAAGTCAGTATCATGCTCGAGCATTTCCACCTTGAAACTGCAACATACGGATGACATCTCTAAAACACAGACAATTCAGACAGACAGTTTTTCATACATGTGGCTGAAGTCGTGTAGAATCTGCAGCAAGTAGGGAGGATATTGACAGAAAGAGACGCGGGGGCTTCATAGATCTGTGCATTTTAAATGAAGCCACAGTGTAGAGTTACATCTAAGCTATGTTAAGGCAGGAAGTGATTCTTTTCATGGAAAAACGTCTAAACATGTACATTTGATACACAAAGATGAATTTTTAGCAGTTTAATTAATCCCTGGAGAGAGACTTTATGAGTGTATTTTATTTAGGGTAACTGTCAGTGGAAGCAGCTTTTGTCGCCATTTTGCTACTGGTTTGTTGACACTTCCAGTTCTTCTCCAAATGGGAGATATTTACCTAAACAGAATTTCCTAATCTGAAACTTAGAATTACAAGTTTTAGACATCGCTGTCACAGTGTAATGGTTTACTGGGCCACTTGAACATAACAGCTCCATTGTTGACATTTTAAGTTAGACCTGTGCCTAAAGGGCGAGGTCATTATATTCCTAATAGCATGCAAG